TTCTCTCTCTCTCTCTCTCTCTCTCTCTCTCTCTCTCTCTCTCTCCAGTATCCTTGAACATAAAAAGACACCTTTCTGTTGGATATTCTGCAGGTGTTCTCGAATAGTCCGGCCGAGGGTGAGCTCCAGAGGGGTGACGTCATCCTGTCCATCAACAACCGTGACGGTAACCAGCTGACCCACAAGCAGGCTCAGGACCTCATCAAACACGGAGGAGGACAGGTCCAGCTAGTCGTTAGCAGGTCAGTACTTACTTACTTTTACTTTTTTATCCTCTTTTGCCGTTAAGCGCCGAGTGGAGATACAACTTTCTATTGTAGGCCAGCTCCGCAGCTTTTTCAGTTGTGATAGTGTTTTCTCAGGTTGACACCCTCAACCCACCTTATGCGTGGCCTTCCTCTTCCTTTATAGCCTGGGTGCTTGGTGTTGTAAGTTCTCGAGGCTGGCTGGCCAGGTGACATACGTAACAGGTGGCCAAACTATTTTTCCTCTGTGTTTCTATAAAACACAGGCAGGACTCAGTGCCAACAGCTGCTCTTACTCCTTCGTTTCTCTGCCTGTCTCGGGTTGTCTCGGGCGGAGACATTTCATTTCGCATGCAGTGATTTTGCCTCCTTTAGTTTTTAGCAGGTCAGTATCACCGTAGAAGTGAGAATAAGTCATACTGACCGTCCGAGGGAAGGAATTGAAAACAGAGTCTGTGTTAGTCGAATTGTTTGATCGCATAAAATTGAATGGTTGACACATAAAGCAGTTTGTTTACGACTTCGGTAATTCCAGTCCTTCTTGGCATGAAATAAGTTATTTTTTAACATTGGCGGGGTTTTGCTGCGATCAAATTTAGCGGTGAAGGGAATTCTGGGAAGGCGAGAGAAAAAAATGTGCCTTTCTTAGATGCGAACCTCGAACTTATGTTTGTTGATCAAGTGTGTAGCCATCATAGTACAATCCTCTGCGCGTGTGTCATTCCATTATAAGAACTTAAATTGTCACGTGTTACGCAACTTGTAAGTGTCTAGCATTGACCAGACAACATACACGATTTTGTCCCTTTTCACGAGACGAGGCTTTGCTCATGAAAGGATCTGAGGATGTTCGTTTTTTCTGAGGCGCGACAACTTACTGGCGCCACTATTGCTTCTTATCAAAACGCTCACAGCTCCTGGTTATGTTTTTGAAATAAAAAAGTTCTATTGATCAATTTCTGACCGTCAATCTGGGTCAATCTAATGTTCACTTTGGCAGTAAATGGCTGATGTTTGTCAAATTACAAAAGATTGTATTCTGTTCTTTGAAGATGTAATAATGTTCGTTTGCCCTTGTATACATCAAGAGCCACACGTGCCACTAACACAATGTGCTGTGATGACTTTGTAAGACAATCTAAGATAACACCAAACTGATGAAGAAAACCAAACGGACCCAATAAGGCATTCATTAGGACTATCAGCATAATGGTAAAACGTTTTCGACGCACCCGTGTGTGTGCACTTTACGAAAAAGAAATATTCCAGGCCTAAAGCAGGAAATAACGTGAATTTAAAAGATAATTTGGATAAATTACGCAGGTGTTTGTTAAATAACGTATTCCATTATCACAGGATCTCGTGAAGATGGGTCATCTTCATGGTTGACCACTTCGTTTGATAGATTAGAGTGGATGAAAAATGAGAAGAAAGAGGGTTACATAATATGGCGTAGAAAAGAAGATATTATGTGTGTACATTGTTCTGAATATAGAGGTTGATATGTGCTATTTTACCATTAAAATGTTCGCTTCTCCTGCTACGCTGCAGTGAGTGGTGTATAGTCTTTATTAGATCTAGCTAACCGTTGGCCACTAAGGGTATCTTCACAATCCGGAAGAGGGAGTCTCGTACATTTTATGTTAATGAAGCCTATTCGGTCTTGTGTGTGTGTGTGTGTGTATGTGTATGTGTGTGTGTGTATGTGTGTGTGTGTGTGTGTGTGTGTGTGTGTGTGTGTGTGTGTGTGTGTGTATGTGTGTGTGTGTGTGTGTGTGTGTGTGTGTGTGTGTGTGTGTTTCGTGGCTTTTTAAAATGTTTGTATTTGTTTTTCTTTGAGGCTCATAAAACGTTGTCCCTCTTTCTGTCCTTGCAGGCCACCGCCCGGGTCGCACATCGCCCCCCTCTCCCCTCCCATTGTTACACAACAGCCCAGAGCGCCATCTCTGCAGGTAAGACTACCCTTTGTCTGTGTGCTGAACCTTTGTTCTAATAGAGATAACCTTATAAGTTTAAGGAAAACACAAAGTAACCTTCACTGGCCCGGGAACACTCACTTTTGTGAATAAAAGTTTCTGGTTATCGAAGACCAGAAATTAAAAGCTGAACATAGCCAGTTCAAGCTCTAATACTTTCTGGCAAACAAACGCCTGAATGTTTGGTTTGTGGGGGGGGTTTTAATCACCTTTATTGACTTGACCACAATTTTGTTCTTTAAATCAGACTTAAATATATTTTCAAATTCAAATTTCTTATAATTGTAGGAATTGTAGGCCTATTCTCTTTGAAGAACCTATGTTCCCCTGTTACATCGTAATAAATAATCACAGTTTCAAAAAGACTTTCGCTTGTTTTGATATTAATTTTTATCGTTCATCCTGGATAAATAATATGTGTCTTACGTTTTAAACAGTTCATGGTGAATCACTAGCCATGAATCTCATGAATTTGCAACTGCCATTTAATAATATTCTTGCCCCTGATTTATTTTTAGTTGTAGACTTTTATACGTGAGGATGGGTTGGGGGAGGGGATTCTTCTTCTTCTTCGTTTTCATTGTAGATTAGAGGGGAGGTGATAAGAAACGGTCAGCAAATGCCTTAGCAGTTGGTTTTGGAAATCTAAATACATGCAAGAATATATTAATCCACAGTGTTTATAGTAACCTTCCTTAGAAACCAGTATTCGCGATTCCTAGAGTTAACATCAGTTGCTTTACATGGAAGATTGTAACAATTGATGCTGATCAATGGGGATGTTTATGCATTTTAAATTTCATTGCTTGTTTTCAGCGGATCCTGGAGAATCTACAACACATTTCATTTGTACGTTTTGTACACATTATATTCATATGTCGTACACGTTCAAAAATGTACATGTACGTGTATCCAAACTAATGATTACGTTTGTGTCTGTAACTACACTCCAGTTCATATCATATTCAAGATGGTTTGTGTTTGCAAGTATGACAATCTCATGTGCACCGAATCTGAGTAGATATTTAGGATAGAAAATACACTCGTGTCAATCATGTTGTTACGCACGACTGAAATTTACGTAACTATGTTTGAATAGAATAACACATTTCTCTTAAGTGCACGAGTGACCTACTAAGCTTAGCAACGATAAATGATGGAGGGAGATAAAGAGAGGGGGGGAGAGAGAGAGAGAGAGAGAGAGGGAGAGGGGTAAGAGGGAGTGGGGGGAGGGAGGGTGAGGGGAGGGGAGGGAGAGGGGTGAGGAAGAGTGGGGGGAAGAATTACTCGATGATGGTGGTGATGGTGATGATGGTGGCGATGGTGTTCATGGAACTGGTTGTTGTGGCTGCTGATGGAGTTACAACTATTGCCGTTGTTGCTGTTGCTACTGCTGTTGTTGTTGTTGTTGTTGTTGTTGTTGTTGTTATTGTTGGGGCTTGTTTTGTCCATCAGCTCCTTTCTATTGTGAACTCTCCCCCCCTCGCCCATACTCACACTGACAAGCCGTGTCCACGAGCTCCTGCTCTATGTGTGTACTATGTGTGAACTAGTACTATGTGTGTACTATGTGTGTACTATGTGTGTACTATGTGTGTACCATGTGTGTACCATGTGTGTACCATGTGTGTACCATGTGTGTACCATGTGTGTACTACGTGTGTACTG